TGAAGAAGGGATAAATGTTATGATGATTGTGACAAAGAACACTTCACTTATCTTAATGATGAAATGAGCGATGAAAGTGATGATCTACAGAATATAAATTCTGTTGTGTTTCCAGAGCCATCACTAAAAAGACAAAAATCAACTGATGGTGTTAGTAGCAGTAGTCAAGTAAGAAAGAGTAAGAAAAAAACAGCTGCAACATTAATAAAAGAGGATATACACTCTCTCATAGAGTTTATGTCTAGCAAAAGCACTGCTACATCTCCTGCAGTTGATGAGACATCCATCGAGAAGTGTATTGGCACGTTGGGAAAAATTTCTGATATTCTAACTGGGAGTGAAATTTACAGTTTTACTATGAATATGTTCCGCAAGAAAAATAATCGACAGATATTTTTGGTGATGCCTACTGATGAAGCTCGCAAGTGTTGGTTGGAGTTTAACTACCAGTTATACCTTAACAAAAATGGATAATATATCGTTATGGTTGAGTCTTTATTATGGTTTTATGTGTAAACTTTGTTATGGTTTTATGTATTTAGATGTTGTGATTGTATGACTAAACTTTTATTAAATTAAAGATTTTGTTTGTTAAGCTTTTAACTAGCTTCAGTTGTAAAGCTTATGAATTTGTAAAGCTTTTAGTAAAGCTTTTAGTTAGCGTAAATCTTATGTCAAATGTTTTAGTTAGTAGCTTATGTTAAATGATAAGCTTTTAACTAGAAATGCTTCAGTTGTAATGCTTATGTTAAATGCTTCAGTTAGTAGCTTATGTTAAATGCTTCAGTTACTAGCTTATGTTAAATGATAAGCTTATGAATTTGTAAAGCTTATGTTAATTCATGTTCTGGAAATGCTTCAGTTGTAAAGCTTATGTTGTAAACTAGCTTTTAACTAGCTTCACTCCTCCAGTTCTTTTTAAATTCTACAACTAATCATTGGAATGCATTTGTAAAGCTAACAGTTAACTCCTCTTTACTTATGTTTTTATTTTCAGTTAAATGGAGAGTTCAAACTCTAGTGACATAATAGATCCTTATCCAAGTTATTCGTCAGACGATGAAGATGAAGAAGAACTGGAGGAAATACAGAGGGAGCAAAATGAGAAGGAATGGACTACTTTATGTCAAATAGCAGGTAAATTGATATTGATGTATTACAAAAAATACCTATGCAAGGAACCTTGTCGTACATCTAGTCGCTCTGGAAATGCATTTATTCAAGAGATATTAAGAGGAAACGAGACTCGTTGTTATGAAAATTTTCGGTTGAGGAAGTCGGTGTTTGTTGATCTATCGAATGACTTAACTGAAAAGTATGGGCTTAAACCCACACGTGGAATGTCTATACACGAGATGTTAGGCATGTTCTTGATGACTTGTGCACATGGAGCTGGAAATCGATTGATACAGGAAATCTTTCAACATTCGGGAGAAACAATTCATAGACACTTTCATAGTGTTTTAAAGGCGATTTGTGAGCTTGCAAGAGATATAATTAAACCACATCAAAATTATAATGATGGTGCAGGAGCTCACAAGCCATGTAATGGTCGATATCTCCCTTTCTTTAGAGTAAGAAATATTGTTACATAATTATTTTTTATTAAATTTATAACTTAACTTTTATAAGTATTACTAACTTAAGTTAAATTTATACTTGTAAATGTATGTAGGAT